TGCCAAAAAGTAGTAGACGACGCGAATTAGTAACTGGTATCCAGGAGAAAGCAAACCACCACTCGAACGAAACTCGAAGTGCAGAAAAAACATGGAAAACATGCGATGGGTACTAACTGGAGCATGCAGTCCAAGACTGAACCTGGCATGGCGCGCTCGGCGTCTGAGAAAATCATCCCAGTAACATTAGTTGTAGGAGCTGCCCATAATTATGGCTCGAACGGTCCTGGTAATTTTGGTGTAAGCGCTTCTTTCTCCGCAATATTCGCAGCAACCTAATAAAAATGTTGCTCAGGGGTCTTGCAGGTCTTATCCGTTGGCTCGGTGCTCCAGCATCCCCTCGGATCGGATCGTTGGCTGGATCGTCGATTCCTTGGTGATGATTCCGGCTAGGAAGGTCCGTGTTCTTCGTTGGTCGTCAGGGCCGTTAGCACAACACAACATCATTTTAACACAGAAAAAACGGCCTTATATAGGCGGTTTCACACCATCATAGATGCCCTATCTAGGAGGGAGTCATGATGCAACAAAAATATTTGAATAGCAATGTTTAAGATGGACCTGAATTGAAATGGTAATAATGTACCTGAATTGTTTTCATGTCACCTTCCAGGAAGCGTCGTATCGGTAGGAGGGTACTGCTTGCGCAACCGTTGATAAAATCCCTTTCTCCGGCGCCTATTTTGAATTCCGCTTGTGCTGTTTTCAACAAAGCGCTTCCTGAAACTGTTTGCCTTACGCGTCTGGCGGGGAATGTTCGTTTACTTCTCCAAAGAACGCAAAATCTGGCCAATTGATCTATCAAACAAACTGTTTCGCTTATCTACGTAATTTGGGCATAATTTTCTTGCGTTTTATAATTTTTAATTAGCTTTTATACAATTTAATAACAGTCACCGATAGCACGGAACAATGGCAGCAAGCTTTGCTACCGTGTTGGATTTTCGGTTTTCCTGGGGGGCCAACAAGCCCGTTACGCTTTCGATCATGCCAAGGAGTGGAAGCCAGTAATAGCTGTTTTTGCACAAATTTAGCAAAGACTTTGACAATTTTTCAACAAAGTGGTTGCTGTCAACATGTGTTATCATTAAGCTACTTCTCATTGCCTATGCTTTTAATACAGAGCAGATAAAGAGGGAGTTTCGACATTGAATTCACTAGTTATGTTACAGGAAAAAGAACCACTATGTTCTGGTTGAAAGAACCGAGACTGTCCACCAGGAGTGTCAGGAAATATCCCCTTAAAATTTCAGCTTTCTAGCTTTTCTGGTTCCCGAGTTAGTAAGTTAACAGCCAAATTTTCTCG